ATCCCTATACAAACTACAGAACAAAATCATAACAACACTTCAGAAAGGGTAAGTAAGCACAGATTAAGTAAGAAAACTTAGAGTATGTGACGTTTAAGAAGTGCTCCAACACAGAAAATTTTTGTATTTTTTATAAGACTGAAAAACACATCCCGTTATGTAATTCAATGACCCATACATAAAGAACCATGAGCTAAATTCCTCTTAAATAGTGCTAAGAAAATGCCCATCCAAAATAATTTGAAAAGCTTCCCTTGATCTGTCAATGAGGACTTTGCTAGGTCTCTTATGACTAAGTTTAATGTTTAACTTTGTCCTCTCAAATTTGAACATTATTTTTCAAAATTTTTAACATTTTCAAGCTGTAATTTATTTTATAATACTTGGATATTCTCATTATGATGCTATATATGTACTGGTTAGTTTAACCTTTACTTCCAGCTGGTATTATAATTGAAAGGGCCATGCTCCAGGTGGCAACTGCAAGTCCTTTTTATCTAGGTAAAGCGATGCACAATCAACACTGTACTCATATCAAACTGAATGTAAAAGATGGCCCTAACTGGTTTAGCTCAGTGGATAGAGTGTCAGCCTGTGGACTGAAGGGTCCCAGGTTCGATTCCAGTCAAGGGCATGTACCTTGGTTGCGGGCACATCCTTAGTAGGGGTTGTGCAGGAGGCAGCTGATCGATGTTTCTCTCTCATTGATGTTTCTAACTCTCTCTCCCTCTCCCTTCCTCTTGGTAAAAAAATCAATAAAACATATTTAAAAAAAAGATGATGAACTAGTGTCTGATTAATCATTATGGTGAATGTATTAACGGGTTCCCTTTGGTAAAAGTAAAGGCATTGAGGATATGTAAATTAGCTTAATACAGTTAAACACTTCTTACTCCTGAATGGACTGTCTGAAAGATTCTATTGAGGCCTATATCCTGCACCTCTTAGAGATGGGCCCACAGCTTTATTAGACTAGGAGGATTTCTGATTGAATCATGGTGACCAAAGGTCACAGAATTCTGCTTCTAGAATATTCCCATGTCCACCTCAAGTGAATGTTGCATACAAGGTATGGCTAACGTACCTAAAATGAAAAAGACCTAGAATTTCATTGTGCTTACAGAGCAGGTTTTGCTTCTGATTTGTTATAAGTCTTTACCTAAAAAATACCTGGCTGTGTGACAGAATCTAGACTTGACTTGTTTTCATTATAGCCTGTTAGTGAGGCTGTCTACTGAGCATTTGAAAGTTGTTGGGTGGTCACCATTACCCAACTCCCCAAAAAGCCAACAAGAGCAACAACAAAAAACCCCAAGAATATTGCCAAACTTGGATTCCATCAGTTAAAAGGAATACTATGAAATCTTTAATATACTAAATCATCTCACAGTCTTTTAGAAAGAAGCAGATATATATTTTTGTGATTAAGAAAACTATTCTCTGATTATATTTGTTTCCAAAATAATCTTTGTTTTCTGCAAACAGTACCAGAAGGCTCAACTTTCATATTTAAGGTACAAAGGAAAGTCTTGACAAATAAACAATATCCCAGTGGTACATGAACATCCTGGTTGAAATTATAAATGCACAAAGATTAAAGGGCAATGACACTTTATGAGAAAGCTTGAAAATAATGAAGTGAGTTATAATTAAATTTATAACTGAATTTTAAGGAGATTTAAGGTATTGCATTAGATTCTTTACTCTGCTGCCAGCAATTGAATATATAGCTTAAAAATTTGAATACATCATATTTTTTAACAATGGATTATTTCAGCTTCTTTCTATCCCAACTCAAAAGAAACAGAGATGCTCCACAGTGAGATAATTGAGTCAATTATATTTCAACAAGCAATTCAGAGAAAGATCCCAGTATGGCACTTCGAAACTATTCTGGACATCAGCATCAAATACCAGTTTTCACACAACTAGCCATGACAACTCTCAGAGGCAGTAGCAAATCTCTTGTTCATCAGAAAGCTCTCACAGATGTTTCTATTTTTCCAGGTGGGGAATACTAAAGCATCAATCAAAACTTACCAGGGAAGTCAAATATAGGAGTCTGATCAATTACAAAATGCCCACAGCAGCAATACGGTCCTAACTCACAACCTTGATAAAATACTGCAGCCACCAATCAATATTTTACATTTTTAAAATACTTTCCTGAAGTTTCCACAGAAAAAAATACAAATGATACATTTTTAAAATTTTCTCTTCTTCTTTTTTTGTTTTGCTAGAAATCATTAATCCCAAATATAGTAAAGCAGGTATAGCATTTCACATACTGCTATTTTACATTTAAAATGGAGTAGGGTCAATTTAATTCAATCTAGTACATATTTCATAGCCACCTATATTATTATTCCCCCTTGAGAATAATTAAGAGTAAAATTCCAATCTTTTACATTATTTTCTCCTAGCCACTCTATAGTGAATCGTCTTAGGCTTGCAAGATCATCTACTTGGAGCTAGTAAAGTAAAATTAACATAGCATAAGAGAAATCCAATAATCTCCCATATTGTTCATCACCACTACCACCTACAACCTGCTCCTTGCCACAAGCATCAATAACTGCAGCAGCAAAAGTTAGCATAAATAGCCTATCTGGAAGAGAACCAGGATGGTTCCTAAACCAGGTGCAATGTATTCTCCAGTTGTTTACCTGGGGAGAACACAAATGACACCAAACTTTTTTATTTTAACTAAGCCCATTCCAACCATTAACTAAGCCCAGAAATGAAAAGTGAAACTAGACCTATCTTATCTTGCCTTTTATGTTCCTCACATTTGCAGATATTTTCATATAAAACAGGGACATTGGAAACCTAGGAAAGCCAAAATGGCCAAGAGGAATATAATTTCTTGTGATTATTTTAGCTTCCAAATATTATTAGCATTTATGTCTATATAATACAATATTCATTGAGTACTTGCAATGAAGCTAGTCTGAATTGAAATGTATTGTAAGTATAAAGTACACCTAGATTTTTAAGATTCAATAAAAATATTTTAAAAATTTTGTATTAACATTAAAATAGAATTATGTGTTAAAAGGTCAACTTTTGGATATATTGAGTTAAATATAAGTCAGTACTCATTTGTCATCAGTTGGTTCTTCGACTTTGAGGAAAATGTTGTATAAGGAAATCAACTTTTCCATAGGCTAATTTATATGAACAATTAGGTTCCTACAGTATCTCAATGTTATATAGAAATGACATTGAATAGAAAGTTATTCAAGGACCTGATTTATTATTAAAATTAATTTCACTTGTTTTTCATTTAATTAATATGGCTGCTAAGATATTATCCTATATAATAAAAGCCTAATGTGCTAAGTGTCTGGTCGTCTGATCAGCTGTTCAACCAATCGAAGAGTAATATGCTAATGATATGCTAGGGCTGCTCAACTGCTCACTATGATGTGCACTGACTACCAGAGGGCAGACAGTTGACCAGTTGACCAGTCGCTATGACATGCACTGACCACCGGGGGGAAGATGCTCTGACTAGTATGTTAGCTTGCTGCTGGGGTCTGGCTGATTGGGACTGAGCGAGATGGGCCAGACACTCCCCGGAGCCCTCACGTGGTCCCTCTCCAGCTGGTCCCTCCCTACCTCCTGCATCCCTCCCTGGCCCTGATTGTGCACCAGTGGGGTCCCTTGGCCTGGCCTGCATCCTTTTGCAACCCGGGACCCTTCAGGGGATGTTGGAGAGCCAGTTTCAGCCTGACCCCGCAGGCCAGGCTGAGGGACCCCACTGGTGCATGAATTCATGCACCAGGCCTCTAGTAATTACATATATGGTTTACATTTGTGGCTTACATTATAATGATTCAGACAATAAACACTGTAATATGTGGCAAATCTTGTGGAAAATTCTATTTTATTATTTGGCTCAAAACTTGTAAAAACTTTGCCACAGAACATAAAACAGTTTTATATGCATGTTT